AGGTGCAAGAAGCAGAATTTTAAAGCCTGCGTTAGCTGAATACATAGAGCTAATAACAATCACTGGAAAAGTTGATTTTAATATTGTATGGGATATTTGGATTTTATACCAATTTTTTATATAAATTATAAAAAGTAATGCACATAGCAAGCGATGGATGAAATGCATGGAAGAAATGCTCGCCCAGTTCAACGGCTCAGCGTTGTGGTCATTAATTATGTGCTATTGCTAAGAGGATTTTCAATTTAAATTCAGCCAATTAACTTCACTGCTCGACCGTAAAATTAAACAGCTGTTGAGCGTTTCTCACTCACACATTCCATTTGGCCATCGGTTTTATTTCTATACCCAAGCACAATTTTTTTGAGATTTTAAAGAAATATCAGCTAACGATGAGAAAAAGGCACTTGGAATAATATAAGAAATAAATTTTTGTTTCAGGAATCCTACTAAAGAAAAGCTCTATTTGAGAGTTAGAAAAATCAGTCTACCACCGTACCTTTTAAGAAGGGACTAGTCTGAGCCACCACCTAAATATAATTATAATACTTGTACCTCATGAATGTGAAGAAAGATCAATAAAAAGCAGATTACGGTAATAATGATGAAGGTGTGCTCTATTCACTTTCTTAGTCTTTTTTCAACTGTTATTTATAACCCAAGAACTGTTTTTGCTGGTTTGTTAAACCGAAACTTAGTACATTTAGAGTTCATTTTGAGTTTTGCGTTTATTTTTCAGCTTTTACGGTTATATAAATATCTTTAAGGTGATGAGAAATAATTAAAATTCTAAAACATAAAATAGCGAGAAAAGTGCTTGCATTCCCCAAAACATAAACAAATCAAATTTAAAAGGCTTAAGGTATTTTAAGTCAAGTAAAACGAACCTTAAATCGATTGGGATACAAATAACTAAATGAAAAGGGCTTACAACTTCATACGGAATTGATGAGGTATGACAAAATGAACAAACACAGAATTTCGAATGTTGAAATGTTTGTTAACTTTTTGAGCTTTGCAAAACACAAATTGTCAACCTTTTATTTTTTGGATTTTCTTAGACATGAAAGGAAAATTTACTTGAACTTTTTCTCCCATTTCAAACTGGCTGCTTCGTCATCTTTATCGATATAAGTTTTAAACATTTTCAATGGATAGAGTTTTTTTCATAAGAGCGAACTTAACACCTTACGATTTATCGGTTCGTTGCCAAAATATACTCGAATTTACGTTGTACATGTATTCAAAGACTTTCCATACACTTTTTAGGGGCCTAATTCAGCAACAAAGAGTGGTCAAGCACACACAAATTTTTATATCAACAGAGAATGTAACAGCGTAGGTTAATAAAATTATTAGTTTCGTACTAGCCGTACATACGTCTAGAGTGCTTAAAACTAGAAGAGACGACACGTACTTTAACTATACGCCTTAACCGAAGCACTCTCTGCGTTAAGTTTTCTGATGTAATAAACACAACTTAGGCATTCTCCGGAAGAATCTATCAACTACAGAGAAAATTTTATATTAATTCATGAGTATTGCTAAGTTCTTCAAATATCTTTGGGCAAGATTTGTGAGATTTTTCTGAAAAAAGTTAATATTTATGTTAAAAATCTCTACTTATTCCAAGTGTATTGTTGTTGTTGACACTGGTAAAAGGATGTTGTCAGGTCAATTATGTACATACATACATACAAATGTAATGATATTTGAATTTATAACATAAAAAAAATCCCCAAAATCGTTCTGAATGATCGGAAAGAGAAGTTGCGGGATACAACTGACAGGATTTCAAAAAAACGTGTTGGCTTTATATTCCATGAGCATTTGTCCATGAGAAAGCTCTGTTCAAAGTGGGTGCCGCGTTTGCTGACTGTTGACCAAAACAGCAACGTGTTGATGATTCTGAGTAGTGTTTGGCCATGTTTAAACGTAATAATCCGGAATTTTTGCATCGATATATGACAATGGATGAAAGCTGGATTCATCACTTCACTCCGCAATCAAAACGATTGTCATCTGAGTGGACAGTAGCCGGTGAACCTTGTCCAAAACGCCAGGAAGCACAAAAATCAGCTGAAAGAGTTATGGCCTCAGTATTTTGGGATATGAAAGGTGAAATATTCATCGACTATCTTGAGAAGGGAAAAACCTTCAATAGTGACTATTATATAGCCTTATTGGGGTAGTTCGAGCGTTTGCCTCCAAGTAGGAGAGAGTTGATGCAGCAGTTTGAAGTCACGCGTCCCAAACCTTGAAATTTCCACTATTATAAAGTGAATAGTAATCGCTGGAGCTAACCAAGGTTTCTGCAAATGAAAGCGGCTTGTAGGAGGTGATATAAGTAATCCTCTTGTTGTTTTAACTTGTTGTGTTTCAGTTACCCACAATTGTTTGTGTCCAGAGTAAAATTTGCCTTTTTGGATATCAGCTGAAGTTTTTATTTTTTCTGTAAGCATTTTATTATAATATAAATTTTCTATTTTTGTGTTTTGTTTAGAAAAATTTAACTTATTTTAATCTGTTTGTATTAAATATCGGGTAACTGTTGGGCGCTAAGTTCAAATGATGGGCAAAAGTTTTTTGTGGGAAAAATCTTAGGCAACACAAAAAGCACGAAAGATTATTACGAAGAGAATCCGAAAAATAAACAACTGAAAAAAGCAAAGTTACACACAGTTGTGTGTGTGTGTCTGAGTGAGTATTTCTATTAAGCATTTATTATAGGGGACAGTTCTCTCCAGCAGTGTTTATGTACAGTGCTCTTTTATTGTGCTACTAAGCTCAACTGTCCGTCAAAACACAGCTGTTATTCATTAATTCGAAGTAGCCCAGTACGTAAGTCAACTAGCGAAGCCCTCAGCTGTCCAACCATTCATCTTCGCTGCAACAAATTTATCTGTCTATCACTTCACTCTCATATCAGGCGCTCCAAAAGTTGCCTTTGCCCAGATATGGCAGCATAAAGCCGACATTCACTTGCCAAAACTTAAGGAATTCGCTGCGTTCTTCAGGCTGTCATTTTTACTTAACTAATCTTTCGATTTTTGTTCGCTGTTTTGCCTTACTCAAGTGTACGCGTACAAGTATCCGCAGAGGCACACGCATTTTTGGTTGAAAATACAGAACACTTGTGGGCAATTTGTGTCCGTGTATTCGCTTGTGACTATCCATCCGTAAATCATGTTAAACATCTGTAGTTCTTCTTGTTTACACACCTATTGTAACTGTTAAGTTAGGCTAAGTTCATTTTGTTTAAGAAACACAGAATCAGGGAGGAAAGTACCAGCATTTATATACCAACCGTAAAAGCTACGGAACCATAATCGCATTTCGATGTTCTCCCTTTTGTGGCCTGCTTTATTTAAATTCAACTTCGTTCGTTTGAAAGACCCGACTGACTTGAAGATTGAGATACGTAATATATTGTTTCAACTGAATAAGTTACTAAATTTTAGGGTTGCTATTTTTTTTGTCAAGATACCCCATTCTTTATTATTCGCGTGTGATATCAGTTAGTCCTATGCAATGTCTATAATTTTCAGGAGCCCAAAGCTTTTTTATAACTTCTTTTTAGAATTTATATCTTCATCATAATCGATTATTTTTTAAAGATTTTTTGCTTTAAATAATAATCTTTTCTTTTCGAAACTGTACTAAGTGCTGAGATTTCCACACCAATGCCTTAAGATCCATACAAGTCCTTGAGCTCATTATCTATCTAAAGCTTTGCAAGCGAATATTTTTCATCCAAGATATTTGCGCGAGCTCTTTCGGTGACATTAGACACACTTTGAAATTTTTCCAATCAAGAAAATTTATTTACTTTGAAAAAGTTAGCCGTGGTTACCAACTTTTTGTGCGTTAAAGTTCTCTTTCTGCGTCACTTTTATTAGTTTTATCTTTAATTTCCGACTAGTTCTACTTTGCACTTTTGCTTCCCGTTTTTTCATATCTGTGTGTGCATCTTCATTGCCTTAGTTGGTAATTGTTTTGCTACCGAGTAATTTTTTCAGCACATTTTTTGCCATTTTCTTTTCACATTGCACTTTGAGTTGCTTTTTATTTTATTTGCGCTATGTGTCAGATTAGTTGTTATTGTGTTGCTGTTATTTGCCTGAATTTGGTTTTTAATTTATAGCACAATTTCCGCATAGTAACTCTTTGGGTCGGCCCTTCTCCGGCCCCTCCACTATTCGAGTAGTATAAACAACATTTTTCTTCTGGTCCCAACCGCAACCCATCTCGCGTCGATGGTGCTGTCAGCCGCCACCACAGGCGCACGGACAGACTATAAAACGGTATGCCAGCAATTGTGGTTGCACAATTGGACTTCATTACGCCTGACATTAAATTTTGTGGTTGACCATTTATAGTCACTGACCCACCGCAGCTCAGCCGCATCTGTTTCACTTCACCAACTGCGTCGGACCGCCCTGGCCCCCCGTCTCCGTCGCATATAGAACGAGCAATCAACAAAAAATACCAATGGGAACTGCAAAAAGTATTGCAATTAGTTATTTTGTTGCCTTTCCCTCCACCTCGGCAGTGTTATTGCTCTTTGCCCAGTGGATGGAAATGTGTAGGGGAAACCTGGTCGGCATCACTGCGTTCAGTGCTGCAAAGCAATTAAACTAATGAAAGCATTAATGTTGGCGCAAGTTTTATTCAAACAAAGGTAAGTAAGTAGTGAGCTTGCCCCGCCGCCCCCACTATCCCCTGCTTCTATGTTTGTTTGATATGATATTAATTCATAAAAACGAAATTCACATTGTATTTGTGAAGTTTATTGACCCAGAGCCAAATTCAAACTGCCACGCAGCTGTGGAGTTAAGATGAAGCTAAAATTTAGCCGCATTTATTTATTACAGCTATTCCATCAGTTTTCGGATTTATTTGTGGTTTAAAGTTGGGGCGAATGTGTGAGTGTGCGCGTGTGTTTACATAGAAAGCAATGTTGCAGGAAACATGTTGGTTTTGTATTAATTGCAACTCACCTGATTATTATTGCCGGTCACATCGATTGGCCGTGGTCGCCGCCTGTGTATGCGCTTACGTGCCGTCTGATATATTTTCCAATAAAGCGCCAAAATGACGAGTAGCGGCACGTAAAACGTGCAGCATGTTGCGAAGACCTGGAAGGTGATTAAGAGCTCAATGTACTTTGATATTAATAATCTCTACAGATGTTCGTATGTAATTGTTCCAAAAAACTGAGTTTTCAAGTTAGTTTTACAGAGGTCACTAGATGTCGCTGAAGTTAAGTTATCACGAAAAATGATCAGAACTTCATCAGAGTCACATTATTATTAAAACTCAAGCAATAACTTCAGTCATATACACACAGATTTGATACCTATACATACAAGTATATTGGTGTTTGATGTGAACTATATTCCTTGTAAAGTCACTTTAAAATTGGGAGGAGGAGGCCACTCCGAGTAATATATTTTGTGTTCTTAGTGTTCATAGGTATATTTCCAAACTGTGTGTGTGCATTCGACACGTTTGAGCTTAACTCACCTGATATGAGACATCTTGTGAAACCATACACTTTTGTTGTTCTATACGCTGCAAGTAATCGGGATCCTTCCAGCCGAATTGTGGCGCCAACGACACTATTACAGCCGCCGACCACACAGAGAAGATCATAAGAAAGACACGCTTACTTGTGCGCGAATGAATGTAATCGATGTTAGTAACCGCCCAATATCTGCAAGAGCAACACAAAAGAAGAGTGCATTAGTGTCATGAAAACAATCAATAAGATTAAGAGATAAATAACGTTACAATACGAGGTTCATTCCAACGTTTTGATACTTAGATATCGGATTCAATATTCGTATCTCATTTTTTAAGCCGTCGAAGCCCACCAAAGAGTGTGTAAAAAATTGAAGCAGCACGAAAGCCCAACCGACATACATACATACACGTACGAATGCACGTACGTTGCAAAAACGTACGTTGGAAAACTATTACAATAACGAAAGTGTTGGCAGCATCAACAATAACACAAACAGCCGCCACTGACACTGATGGTGGCAAAAAATGTGTGGAAAAATAAATAGCAACGGAAAAAATGGCAGAATAGATGGTGAGGAAGACTTCTGCAGGCATCGTGGGGCGTTGGAGTGCAAGTTCGTTGTAACTGTTAGCATCCGAAACGCGAATATGCAACACCGTGTGTCAAAGTGTTGCCACTTTGGCATGCCGTTAGTATATCCGGCATTAAAACACATACGTACATATGAATAAATACATACACACCCGAACAAATGTGCACCAACGCAAAAATTTTCGTTTTTCTATTGTTTCCGAAAAGTTTGCGTTGCCATGCATAAGCTTCTCAGTCAATGTCCGAGTGTAAAAAATTGAAATTTGTGCCGAAAAATAAAACTAAAGGGAAACACTATTTCGACACAGTTAGGGCTTTTCCGTTTTCTCCATACTTATCCCTTGATTTACTTGAATGCAAATTTAGAACAAGCCTGGTCCCAGTGGTATGTAATATGCAGAACCTGGGTCAAATCCACGTTTCTACTAGCAAATTGATTTCTAATAGCGGCCGTCCCTCCGCGAAGAATGGCATGCCTTCGAGCGCACTTCGGCCATAAAAAAGTGCAGAATAATAAATTTTTCGACATATGGAACATGATTTCTCAATTCATAAGGGATCTCAAAAAGTCCAACTGTTCTATTATTCTATTATCTATTGTAAATACCGCAGAAACAAGCGAAGACTCTTTATATGATTTAGTTCTGTTGATTATCTTTGTCAGACCTATAAGAACTTGTTCAGATATCAAGGAAATCGGCACATTCCCTACCTTCTCGAGCTTAATTCCAAAATTTGAGGATATCCCTACTAAATGATAAATGGTTTCATATGTGCGTGTATGTTTGTGTGTGGAATTATGTTGAACATTTATTGTTCGATTTCGAAAGCCGCGTTGTCAGTTTCCCCGAAAGCAATGCTGATTTTTTTTTTCCTCCTTAAACCGTTAGTTTTGCCAGTTTTCGCGTATGTATGTGTTTGCGTTGGTATTTTCTTTGTCGCATGCTGCAACAATTATTGCAACAACTATAATATTACTTTCGATAGTTAGTGTCGCATGTGTTCCCGGTTACAAGGTTGCCAGCTGGCTAAACTGTTTTTTATTGTTTTTTGGGGGCTTTTTGTGCGGATTCGCTATTTTTTCGTCGATTTTTTAACATTGTTTGTAAGTTTTTGATATTTCATTAGAGCTACAAGGGCTATGCGCGTACTTGTGGAAGTGTATGTGTGTGGGCATAGAAAAAAACTTTCGCACAGCCTCTAGCTAGACATTTGATGTTTATGTGGGAGCGTGGAAATTGGAAAGCGTTAATTTTTTATTTCACTTTCGAATAATGAAGGCAAAAAATTGTAAATACATTACAGAAAAAACAAAAATTTTATGGATTTAAATATTTAATTTATGAGACGAGTAGCAAGGATATATACAGTTTCGGTATTTGGTGTTTATGTGTCCAAAATAAGATGTTTAGACCTTATTTCTGCGATTTCAGATCGATTTTCGAAAAATCTAAGCATGTATTGGACTCGTAAAAGCTCTCCAAAAAGGACTCAGAAGACTTACAGAATTTACATTATATATTCTTTAAAGCCACCCAGTAAACGGTCAATACTGAGGTAATAACGCTTAAACTCATTGAAGCAATTACGTACTCACGATATATCCAAAATTTCGTGTAACCTCATATTGAAATTCCATAAATTAATTTCGTGCCTGCTAATTGAAACACCGTCATTTGCTAATCAATTAGCATAAATCGAATGGTGCTCACTTAGTGGCCGTCGTTAATTTGTTGTTATCGCCCTCTGAAACGCCCTGTTGACGTGGACATCAGTGGCTCCGTGATGTGTATATGGTATGTATGTACATGAACGCCCATGAATAAATTTGTTCAACCAAAGAGTGATTATGTGTGTGTAGCTGTAATAATTGTTTAATAAGGATCGTGACAGGTGACAGTATCGCATCGGTGTCTCGCGTTGTCTCGCGTTGCACCTGGCTATTATGCAATTTTATGATAGTTGTGTAGCTACAGTGTACCAGCAGCGAAGGTAGGCGGAAGAAGCGACCTGTCAGCGTGCCACACGTTTCCTTCAAGCGCTCGGTTGATTGGGTATGGCACGGATGCGTGCAAAGTTGTCATTTACGGCAAATACTTGTGCAACACATACATATGTATAAAATTGTTTATGGAAATTTTATTTTGCATGTAAACATGAAGTGACTACAATAAAATAGCGTTCTTATGTGTGAATGTGTGTGAGAAGGAGGTGTGGCAGCATGGTTAACACCGTCATTCTGGCGTATTGTTTGCCACTTCATCAGCTGTGAGCGCGGTTACGTTATATTTGTGCAGCGTGTAATTATTGTTGCTGCCATTTTAGTTCGTTGTGCTCTTCGCTGTTAACTTTTCGTGTTACTTTATCAGCAGTAACGGTAGAGAGACCGCAGTGGAAGGTAGACAAAGTTCCTTGTTCATGCATCAAGGCATTTTTGTTTAAATTTCAAATCGTCTCACACATTGTCACTTATTATTTGGCCTTTTCAATGATCATTTAGTTAGAAGTATGCCTCAAATGTGAAGCAACGCGAGTTAGTTCAATGTAAAGACTAAAGTTAATGATTTGTTGGCAATGGGAAAGATTTTCCTAAACGGTCTAGAAACAGAAGCGGGACCAAGTTAACTGCCCTGTAGACGATCAAATAATTACGTGAAAAATTGCATATGTGTGAGTGAAGTCTTGCCCGCAAACGTTCAAATAAACACTTCAATCATCATTTCATATTTACACTCACAGCGTTCGGTTGTCACGTCATTATCGGAAAACGATTTACTTTTACTAGAATCTGCTGCAGTTTTCTTGCAAAAGAAATAAATCAAATAGGAGAATCAAGAGTGGACTTAAGTTGGGTACTAAAAACGAAAGCAATTTGCCCATGAAAATATTTTAGATGAATTGAAATTATCAAGCGAAAGAGATTATGATAACTTTTTGCGGATGGGTTCTGAAACCCAATGATTTTAAATAATAAAAAGTTCATTAAATATTAACATCACCCTAAGAAAATATTTTATATTGTACTATATATACAAGACAAATCTAAAAAAAAGATAAATATATATAATTAATATATAATAATTTATGGTGTTTTCATGTATTTTAATCACATTTTAGATGACTAAAATATATTAATAATTTTATTTCGTTTGCGACTTTTCATTTCTCAACTGTCACTATAGAAATGAGCTTTTGTATGTCAAACATGAGTAGAGACGATTAATTTAGCAGCCGTCAAATAGACATATGAAAAATTTTTGATTTTCATCAAACAGTAGCGTACGTGTAGCTGACAAAAGCCGACGACAACAATACACTCAAAGCATTTAATGGAATTATTTTATCGTCTACAGGGCACTTAAGAGTGCCTGTTGCCAATTCGAGAAATCAGCTTCAAAACTGTGCCCGTACATTTTCATACTAAAACGCACAGGCAGTGTAGAGTGGAAGCTGGCCGAAGCCAAAGCTGATCTGAGAAAACAGTTTTGAAGCATTTTTTCGGCGCCGACTCGAGTGTTTGATAGTTTATTTGTATGTTGGTATAGTAGTCTCATGTTTTACTTACAAGGAATTACCATGAATGTGATAGAACGATATTAAGAGTATCCACTATTCATATTTTCAAGGGAAAATTTATGACGGGAATTCGCTTACTCATCAGAATTTATTAAATAGTTGCTATTAATATTTTCAAGGACAAATTTATGACGGAAATTTTTTAGTACACTGTTTTTCTTTTTTTTCTCACAAAACATTGATTAATTAATTATAGTTCCTGTTTTAAAATAAATGAAATGGTATTCGAACTAAATCCTTCCCGGTTAAAAGAAATTGTTACGAACAAGTAACAGAACAGTAAAATAGCAAAGTACGCGCGGGGTTCGGCGTTGAATCTCGTATCCCCTCTGCGGTACCTAAAATCGATCAGCACTGATCGAACTCAACTTTGCGATCGGCCCGGCTTTGAGCAAAGTGGACGCTGGCACCTTCTGTCTTCTTGGACTTTTTGAACATGAAAAGGATCACAGTTACTTAATAATTATAAAAGACGCGCATAATGAGCATATTAGGAGAATGGGGTCTGGAAAATACATAAAAGGACCCCTAATATTAACAATTCGTCTGTCGGACAGAAAGTTTCAAGGCAATACTTCACTTCGTCAGTACATCTTCAACATAGAGAAGGTACGACAGCATCGCTAGAAATTAACAAGACTACATTCCAATCTGTATAAATAAATATGTATATATGCATGCACATATACTTGTAGGTATGTATATATGCATTCGAAAATGTGTAAATGTGGGAATTTGAGCAGCTTGTTTAACCAACAAATTTCAAATTTCACAGCAGGCTAATTTACCAATTGTACCAACTTTGTTATGATTATTTTATGCAAGCGATAATGCGGTTGAATGGAAATGTCAACAGTCGCGCATCTAACCACACTGGTAATTTTCGCTTTTGTATTATTCAATTTGGGAAATTATTCAACCGCAGGGAGAGCGTGTCATCAGCTTTTTATGGATTTTTAAAATATCACAAGGCCACAACTAAATATTAGATAGCAATTATTGATTAACACGTATTTTATAAT